AAGAAAGAAAGAAAGAAAGAAAGAAAGAAAGAAGAAAGAAAGAAATCCATTCCACACAGTTTATTCCTAGGGGTCCTCACCCTTTCCTTGGGTAGGTTAGTTGGTCAGGAGCCCATAGCTTCTCAAGGCTGTTACTCCTTGAAGCAGCTGTCTTTGAGTCTAGTGCCTTAGGTCTAGGACGTTGGAAGGGCTGTTAGAGAGACAGACTGTGGCCCCTGTGGACACTGCAGTTGGTGGTCCTGTGCTTGTGGCTGTGGACTTATGCTGAGGCTGTTGGTCTTACTTGACCTGGGCTGTGTCTGTGGCTGAGGTTCCCCTTTTTCTGTTTTGGCTGTGTGAGTGGTACTCGGGCCCTGCTGTCCTGTGCTGTCTGCAGATTGCCCCTGCTGTATAGGGTGCCAGTGTGGCTGGTTGTGGGTGGGAAGCTGCTCTCCATTCTTACAGTGCCTGTCTTCATGGAACCCATGATAGGAAAGCCATCTGCTTGGCAGCTCTTCTCTCTGTTGTCCTGACCTTTTGCAGCTGACCTGGATGTTCACAGCATAGTTTACCGACTGACCCAGACTCACTGTTGAAATAGTGCCCTGCTGTGGCCTCTGTGATGTGGCTGGTTAGACCTGCCAGTGTGTACTGTGCTGAGCTAGGCAGCCAGTGAGTCCATACTCAGGCTGCTGTCAACCTCTGAGTTACTCAGGAATACCTTCTGTTTGAATGGAAGACTACCTTGGGAACAAACAGCTCCACTTGCTTCTCTAGAACCTCAGACTGTGGAGACAGGCTCTCCATAGTGAGAAAATGGGCTACTTTGAAAGCGCCCCTTCCTTCCGGCCCCTGCTGTCTTGTGTGTGTAGGCCGTAGCCATTGATTTCGGCTGGCCTGGGTGGTGCTTCTATAGGCTGGGTTGTGGGGTCTCCACTTCTCCACAGAAGCATAGAAGAACAACTGTTGCCAGGAGCCTGCACTCAGCTCCTCAGAATAAAGCCCACTGTATTCACTGTCTTCCTGCAAAGTGACTGCCGAGTCTGGGCACAGCATGTGGCATAAGCTGTTAATACAGTTGTAACAACGGTGTCTGCAGGCTGACCGGCCCGTGTATGTGATACTACAGATCTCACACAGGGAGATGAAATAATTCTAGATAAAACAATAGGCGTGAGCTTCCTTATTGGAGCTTGAGAAACTTGTCTGTACTAAGGATATGAGAGCCTCAGGTGTCTCACTGTTGCGAGTGACCGCCTCACCGCACCACACAGCACAGGTAGTGACGGGAAGCACTGGTGTACTGCACATGTCTCTCTGCATGGCCAGGGCCGTTTGCTCACTGTCGAGTCTGCTGTCTCCCACAGCCTGAGGTTCTGGGGAAGCACATTGGGGCTGTTTGCTGTCAAGGTAATCCTCTATTCAAACAGAAGGTATTTCTGAGTAACTCAGAATTGTACAGCAGCCTGGCTCTAATGGGCAAGTGTCCTTTCCTCGAGTGAAATGGAAGAGCTGGGAGAGTGAATGGGGCTGTGTGTATTCGTTCAGTGGGCGCGTAGAAGTGCTCGGGTAGAAAGGGGACAGCGGTGTACGCCATGCCACCCTGAACGTGCCCTGTCTCGTCTGACCTAAGCTCAGGGTCGGGCCTGTTAGTACTTGGATGGGAGAAAGTAGACAATGGTAGAGAAAGCTTGACAGTGATTTAGAGGTGGGCTGTGGTAGGCAGCTCTGGGCACTGTTTGTCCGTTGGCACTTGTCTCTGTGTATGTTTGGATGGAGTGTTGGATGCTATAGGTGTGTCCCCGAGAAAGTTCTAGGAGGGTTGTGAGCAGAAGGGTCTTTGGCACTGGCCTCTGTAGAAATGGAACGGGACAAGATCGCTTTCCAGACTGAGCATTCCTACAAAGGAGCGTGGCTTCCCACGGGCTTCCTGCCGGTCGCTCCCCTGAGGTGGAAGCGCACCAAGCCTGTAGGGTCTGGAGCTAGTGGGCAGCTGAGCCCCATGGGCAGCAGGACTCTCCCGCCCAGAAGGGCCTGTCTGGTGGGAGTGTGGCTGCACATGTTCCCCTCTGCAGCTGGCCATGTCACCTTGGGGCCTGCTTTTCCGTTGTTTGGCTTGGTGCAGGCTGATAGTTCTGTGTTTCTCCCCTGTACGTGAGGGTCACGTCTGGAAAATCATTGTCCAAATCAGTTGTTAGAAGGAGGGCATGTGGCCACGTGCTGTTCACTCGGGACCTGGTATGTGTCCCTCAGGGTCATCCTCACCTCTGCTATGAGTGTTAACCTATTAGCAATAGCCAGTGGCTTCTCATTAGTTCTCAGCATTCTCTGTGTGTTCCAAGTAAGTCCACAGGGAGTGGAGCACCTTAGTCTTCTGGGGCTCCCAGTGCAGGCTCATTTTCCTCACCTGGAAGTAAGGATCAGTGTGGTTTTGAGGAGTTTGTACCCATTGAGCTTGGGGACCTAGAGGACAGTCCTGGAGATGTGCAGATGGCATCCTCTTGTCGACCTTTCTGTTTGCCTCGACGTATCAAGTGGCAGGAATGTCAGCAGACAGGTAAAGGGAACGTGGTGCAGCAGTAACTTCTCTCTAGTTTAGGTTCCCACTCCTGTTCAGGTGAGTCTGTGCAGGCGTCGGCACAGGATGGAGAAGGGTTCTTGATAGCTGGTACTACAGGAAATGTGAGAGGGAGCCAACGGTGGTTGAAGTCCTCTATGTCCGCTTCCTGGTGAAGACACACGATGCTCCTGGCTCTGAGGGAAGCCTGGAACCCAGGCTAGGGTGGAAAGGCTCCTGTTGCTCTGTCCTGCCTTGCTGATGGTAGAGCCTGCATAGGGGGCTACCAAGCGCCTGCCATTTGATGGCAGTCACCAGCTCTGTGTTTTTTCTGTGCTAGAGGCAGATAGGTAGGAGGCCAGAGCGGGGTGGTTCCTCTGTGTGCCTGTCCCCTGGGATTGCAGTTGTGGGCACAGTGGGCTCTGCGCCTATCACTTCCTGTTATCTCAAGACTTTGTCACTCTCCTTTGTTTATTATGCTGCTTGATGGAGCCAGGTGTCACGTGGATGGTGCATCCAGCTGCTTGGACCTTCATGCTCCCCTCAGTAGCGTGGCCACCCTGACCCTGTCCTGTCTCACTGTAGTTAGTGCATCCTTGGCCTGTCAGCTAGGCCAAGCAAAGGCTGGCAGTTGTCACCAGGGCCCAGAGGTAGCTTCTCGCATTGATCCATCAGATAGACTAACGATGTCTTCCTCTCTCCCTCCCTTTCTTCCTCTCCTCTTCATCTCCGTGTTATACCACGTCAGTAACAGGGACACCTCGGACACAGGCCCGCCAGGGAGACTTTGTCTGTGTGGAGTGCGGCAAGAGTTTCCACCAGCCCAGCCAACTCAGGGCCCACCTTCGGGCACACACAGGTATCTCAGCCCTGTGCCGTGTGACTGGCCAGTGCCAAGAATGTGTATTTGGGGGTGGGGTGGCGTGAGGTGGAGGGTATTTTCTGGTTTAATTTTGGTGTTGTGACAAATGCCATGACCAAAAACAGCTCAGAGAGGAAAGGGTTTATTTGGCTAATACTTCCAGGTCATGGTCAGACACTAAAGGTAGTGAGGGCAAGCGCTTGAGGCAGCAATGGTGGAAGAATGCTCCTGGCTGGCTGGCTGGCTGGCTGGCTGGCTGGCTCACTTACTCACAGGCTTGTGCTTAGCTAGGTTTCTTACACCGCCCAGGATCAGCTGGCTGTGGATGGTACTGCTCCAGTGGGCGGGGTCCTCCGATTCAGAAATCACTATCCTGCCTGAGAGACCTGCCCCCGGGCCTATCTGACCAGTGCTTTTTCTCAGCGAGATTCTCTCTTCCAGATGGCTGTCGGTTGTGTGAGCTGACTAACCAGCACAGTCTTTTCTGCTAGTTAGTCCCGGTCACAGTGGGCATATTTAGGTTTCAGCTGTTGACCATGTCACCCACCTTTCAGTTGACCTTATTCTCAT